TAAGAAGCTGTCATAAGAAACAGACCGAAGGGGCCCAGGCTTGTGTGGCCGGAGTGTACTTTTGCCTCCCAGAAGCTGTTCGGCCCAGCCACCTCCAGGTCCCCGCCATCCCTGATGTCCTGCCTCTTCATGTCCCATGAACCAGCTGTGAGCCTCTGGGCATGCCCTGCTACAAGCTGGCTTTAATCCTGAAAGCCATGTGGCAGCCAAAGACTGCTGCTGCTTTGAAACATAAAATAGAGGCTCTGATGGACAGAGGAGCAATAATGAGGGACTTGGAAAACCTGAGTGAGCGAGCACTTCCTTGTAAGATCTCCACCCACAATCAGTGGCACAACAGAGGTGAGTATCTCCTGGTGGATTTTTATGCACCAACCATAACTGTTGAAAGCATGATGAAGCACTTGTCTCCAAACGTAGATGTGATTAGACCGAATATTGTCAAACACACTCTGACCCAGGAACTAAAAGAATGTGAAGGGACTGTCCCAATCCCACTTGAAAAAAAATTCTATTACACAAAGAAGAGAAAGAAGTGAGAAGATTCGCCAGAGTTTAGCCTTATATTTAATACCTTCACATTTGAGCAGCATGGATGAGAAGGAATAGTCTACAAGCTTGGCCTTTATATAAGAGCGTATTGCAGGTGCTATTTGATTTTTCGAAAATATTTTTAGCTTCTCATCCCTTTGCTGTGAGAGGTGGAGAACCGCTTACTAACGGCTTTTCTGTAATCTGTGGTACCAGTGGATCATTCTTGATTTTGTTTTCATTAGTGTCATTTCTTTGTCAATGAGGACTTTTCCCCTTACAACAGTAACACCATTATGAAGAGCAAATCTTACAGTACCACCTGGGATTGTGAGTTAGTCATTCAGACTGCATAACCATGTGGAAATAAAAATTGAAGACCATTTCCGATCGATGTGGTGACATCAAAACAAAATAAAAATAAATTGAAGACCAATGTTATTATTTGCTTTGAGTAATAAACTTTATTTTAGAAATTAAAAAAAAACAGACCAAGATAGTGCACAGATGTTAGAACGATAAATTTAAAAACAGACAACACATAAGATCAGATGCATAATTACAATAAAGAGAAAGAAACTATGCTTGAAATTTAAAAAAAAAAAAAAACACAGTCACAGAGATGAAGAATGCCCACAACAGGCTCATCAGTAGAACTGACACAGAGGAAAGAATCAGGGAAACTGAAGATAAATCTATAGAAACTATAGAGCTAGAAATTACTCAAACTGAAACACATTGAAAAGAATATATAAAAGCTATAGACAAAAAAATTAATGACTTAATGTATCCATAGTCAGAATCTTAGAAACAGAGAGAAAGAAAAGAAAAAACTAAGCACAAATTTTCAAAACCAACTAGATAAAGCTGGTGGGTTCACAACATTGTGAATACACTAAATATCACTGAATTGCATGCTTTAAAATGTATGCTTTAACTATATATTATATAAATTTCACTTCAATAAAGAAGAAAAATATTTCAAAATCGCAGATCCAAGAGCACCAACAGCAACCACGGCTACAAGGCTTTAGAAACACACACACACACACACACACACACGCGCACGCGCCCGCGCACACACACACACACACACACCCCTCTAGGCATATCATATTCAAACTGAAAAAAACAAACACGAATTCTAAGAAAGAGCCCGTTAACACAGAATTCCATATCTAGTAAAAGCATCTTTCAAAAATGAACAATAAATAAAAGCTTCCTGAAAAAAAAAAAAAACCTGAGAATTTATTGCCAACAAATGCATTCTACAAGAAATGCTAAAGTAGTTTATTCAAAAGGAATATTATGTCAGACAAAAACTTAAACTTATACCAAAAAATTTTTAAAAAATGGAGCCAAATGAAAATAAAATTAATGTTCTCCCTACATTTAATTGCTCAGATAACTGATTACCAGAAGTAAAAACAGTAGCAAAATATTATATTCCTGGCATATGCAAAAGTAAATTACATGACAAAAAAAATACCAAAAAAACGAGAAAAATTGGAAATACAATGCCATATGGGGCTGTTACATGAAGCAATATATTATTACTAACTGTAGGTTCTGTCTGATTAAAGATTATATTGTTGATCCTAGAATAACTACTAAAAATAATTTTAAGAGGTATAATTATAAGTCAGTGGAGGATAAGAAATTCATTGGCAAAATTTAATGAGAAACAGGATATTTGCATAGTCTCAAAATGTTTCCCACAAGGTACTCACTAATTACAAAGGGAAGAATGGTAACTCTTCAGTGGAGAAAACTGGGAGACACTATCTTAACCACATGTCAAAGTTAACAGCGTCAGTAATAACACATATTGACATCATGTACCTCCTGTTATACTGAGAAAAATACAAAATCACACCTGTGATATTCTTCCCAAGAATGCATAAACTTACTCTCTCATGAAAAAACACCAGACAAACCCAAACTGAGGAACATCCTCCAAAATACCCAATCAGTAATCTCTCAAAGTGTCAAGGTCATGGAACAAGGAATGGCTGAAGAATTAGCACAGGTTGGAAGAGGCTACAGAGATGTGAAAACCAAATGCATTGTGGACATTAAATCTGATCTTGAACCAGAAAAAGCACATTAGTAGAAAATCTAGTAATAGTCAAATAAGGTCAGTAGTTTAGTTAATAAAACTGTATTAGGCTGGGCACGGTGGCTCATGCCTATAATCCCAGCACTTTGGGAGGCTAAGGTGGGCAGCTCACAAGGTCAGGAATTCGAGACCAGCCTGGCCAATGTGGCGAAACCTCATCTCTACTAAAATTACAAAAAAAAAACATTGCCAGGAGTGGTGGTGTATACTTGTAATCCCAGCTACTCAGGAGGCTGAGGCAGAAAAATCACTTAAACAGGGAGACAAAGGTTGCAGTGAGCTGATACTGCGTCACTGCACTCCAGCCTGGGCGATGGAGCGAGTCTCCATCTCAAAAATAAGTAAATAAATAAAATAATATTGTACTAATAGTATAACAGTAATATTATATCACAATAGTACTGTATAAAAAGTACTGGATGGGCACAGTGGCTGACGCCTGTAATCCCAGCATTTTGGGAGGCAACAGCGGGTGGATCACCTGAGGTCAGGAGTTCAAGACTAGCCTAGCCAACGTGGTGAAACCCTGTCTTTAATAAAAATACAAATTAGCTGGGTGGTCCCAGCTACTAGGGAAGCTGAGGCAAAAGAATTGCTCAAACTTGGCCAGGCACAGTAGCTCTCGCCTGTAATCCCAGCACTTTGGGAGGTTGAAACAGGCGGATCACAAGGTCAGGAATTCAAGACCAGCCTGGCTGATATGGCGAAACCCTGTCTCTACTAAAAATACAAAAATTAGCCAGGCGTGGTGGCACAGGCCTGAAGTCCCAGCTACTCGGAAGGCTGAGGCAGATGAATTGCTTGAACCCAGGAGGCGGAGGCTGCAGTAAGCTGAGATTGCATCACTGCACTCCAGCCTGGGCGTCAGAGTGAGACTCTGTCTCAAAAAGGGGGAAAAAAAAGACAGACAGAAAATTACCAATAGCACTATGCCAATTGTTGTGTACTGTAGCTGCAAAGATGTTAACATTAGCAGAAGTTTGAAAAAGGATACTGAAAGCTCTACACTAATTTGCAAGTTTTCTGTAGTTCCTTTCGTTTTTAGATATCATAGTGTTCTAAGCACACTGTTATCACTCATTATACATTTTAAAATATTCATCCTCTGTGCAGTAAACCAATTACTAAGAAAAAAAAATAAGTCCCAAAATTTGAACACAGAATTTGTGAGAGTGCTATTGGACTTGCCATCCCCCTAAAATACAGAACTCTGACTATACAGGCAACTAACCTCTAGAACTATACGTCAGTTTTGGCATAAGAAAAATATAATAAATCTCCCGCTTAAAAAAAAAAAGTCAAAATGCCAACATGTTGGTAACAATATCACATTACATTAGGGCTACTTAAATATCTTCAAAGACATCTACACAGTTGCTAGTCATGGCTTTATTAAATGTATCATACAATGCATTTCCCCAGCTATATCTATGAATCAAAGTGTATATTTATCAATACAGCTCTTCCTTACACACCCTAGCAGGAAATCATTTAAATCCTTTCAACAATTAGTAGACATTCTCTTTAAATGTAGAAGAGGGTGTGTATATGTGTGTGTGCATGCGCGTGCGTGTACACACACATGTATGCTTGAGTGAGGGAAAGAGGCAACAAAATAGTGACAGGTGTCCCCACTGAGAGAATAGCCTGTTAAGGAATAAGGGATAAGACTTCAGGTGAGCTTTAAAGGAAAGATGAAATTTGGATAGTTCCTAAAGGCTTTTATGAAAAAAGAAAAAAATTGGATGGTCAACAAGAAATAGAGGAAAACATCCAAGGGAGACCTATAATAGCAAAAAACTTAGAGGCAGAAATACATATGGCATGTTTGAGGTTATAGAGTAACTAGCTAGATTATGAAGTTATACATACTCCAAGAGTTATGAAAACTCATTCATGATGAAGAGGAGGGGTTAAATGATAGAGCTTTTAACATTAAGCTAAAGAAGAAAGCCCAACTCCAGTAACAGAAGCATTTAAAGAACAACTCTACTATTCAGTTTCCTGTAACTAAAGCAGATATACACAAAGATTAATCTTAGAATACCTTGGAATCTAAAGAATTATATTTACCACATAATTTTAAACTTGGCTTTTTAAGATACAGAGCAAGTATGTGTTTGAGAGAAACTGAGTACATGCACAAGAGATAAAGAAGTATTTAGATGAGCATAATATAAAAATATAAAATGCTAAAAAATTAAGCATTAAATTAAATATAAATCAAATCCAAAAAGAGATTAATATTTGTACATGAACACTTTAATTAACATTTTACTTAAAGATAGAGAAGTGTAATTTAAAATTTTAAGAAATTATATTACCATTAAATAGCAAATTTTTAAAAAACTGAGAGTAGGAACAGGAATTTTAACTGCCATATTATTTTTTATTTTCCAAGCACTCACTGATTTATGTCAGCTGATTCTTGAAACCAGCAAGAAGAACTGTCAAGTCATCACATTTACAGGTACGCTAAACTTGGCTGTGATGATATTTTGTCTAAATAACTTCCAGTAATAGAAATAAATTAAATCAAGCTAACTTGTAGGTCAGTAAGCTTTAAAAAATATTAAGCACACAGTGCATCTGATTGATATGAACAATTCTAAAAATGGAGCAATTTACATTTTTCTTTTTCTTTTTTTTTTGAGACAGTGTCTCACTCTGTCACCCAGGCTGAAGCGCACTGGTGCGATCTCAGCTCACTGCAACCTCTGCTTCCCAGGCTCAAGCCATCATCCCATCTCAGCCTCCTGAGTAGCTGGGACCACAGGCATGCACCACCACGTGGGGCTAATTTTTGTATATTCTGGTAGAGAAGAGTTTTTGCCATGTTGGCCAGGCTGGTCTTCAACTAAATGATTCACCCACCTTGGCTTCCCAAAGTGCTGGGACTATAGGCATGAGCTACTGCGCCCAGTCTAAATTTTTATTTTCTTTTAAATGTCCAGGTCATAAGTAGCATATGCTACTTGTTCAGAATTAGCATAAAGCCTTTAAACTGGCTTTCCAGCTATGAGCTGAATCCCTGTTTCATTTAAATAGTTTATGTTCTCAAACATATTTATACTGTCAATTTACATAAGTAGTACTAGATACCAAAAAACAGTAAATATTAGCTACATGTTTCCAAAACGCATTCAACAATAGGCACCAGCATGTTCTGCTAGATGATTAACACAACACATTTTTATTGGGTCCTAAAGCCTCTGAACTGTTGTCTATCATAGATTTTATGAAACAGATGTTTCTTTCATGCAATAAAGTAATTCTAGAACTAGATTATATTGATAGACAAAATGATACAACAGGTAGAGCAAAATCCAATGTAAAAATAAGCAAAAGGTCAAATTGCAATTGAGAAAAATTGTGAACTTCAAAGGATTTTTGATCTGATCAGATAAAGCAATGTGAGTTTAGTAAACTGAGAATTTCATGTTTCTAAAAACTTACTTTCCTTTGAAAGGTAAAAAAAAAAATTCTTTCACACCTAATTATACTTTAGCAGTATTTTATCACCTT